ACACACACACACACACACACACACACACACACACACACACACACACATATATATATGTATATATATATATATATTTATTTAAAATTCTTATAACTAAACCTACAGTCGCCTAAATGTCTACAATGTGTTGATTTGCATTCTCGTCATATTTACAGAGGTCATTCTATATCCGAAACTGAACCCAAATCACTAACAAAATAAATGAAAAAGAATTTTTTTTCTAAGTAAATTCCTATTTTTTATTTAATTGCGGTAAACAAATTTGATCCAAAAGTCATTGACTTGCACGGCACTTGTAAACATTTTGAACAATGACCTTAAATGCGCAAAAAGAAACGCATTTTAGATCTATTTGGTGATGGGGTGCGGGTAGTGACGGCGGGAGAGTATCCTATCGAGCGCACGATTGGTAGATCAGTTGACCTTGCTTCCCGTACTGCGTCTACGTCACGCTGACATCCCACATACTCTATTCTAGTCTGTCACGAAATGCCACGTGGTTTGGTATGTAAACAAGAGTTAGTAGTGCAAAAAAGAACCGCTACCAGGTTCACCAGAATCTACATGGTATTCCAGTGCGTGTCAATTCTTATGGCATGATGTGAAACGTTTAGATTACGCGGAGGACACGAGTGTCGAAGTTTCTGCTTTCAAAGTTGTGGAGTCTAACGTTGAAACGAAACTCACGCGCGAGCTAGGTACTTTTAGGAATACTTGCATGTAACCTAAAGTTGATAAGTACCAAATCTAAGTTACAAAAAACTTTTTTCAGTCAACTTTTCTAATTAATGTAAATAAATAGTAAATTATAACAATACTAGTACAGAATCATAATTTTAAAAAATAGGTAAATAAGCACTCCAGTAAGATTACGTATCGCTTGGTGAAGCGGGTGGCGAGGTCTCTGCCCTTGCGTGGTGCACACGATTAAGACAATTTTGCAAAACTTTACTAGATGCAATAGGTCAGAATAATTTTTTATATATTTTTAGATGGTTTACCATTATTTATAATATTAATTTCTTAAATATGGCGAGAATGCAAATCGACACACTGTATAAGTATACGATTTTTCGTACACATTTGTGGTATCCTTGTTCATCAACGTGTACGAGACCATTGAGACCATTTTTTACTTGCTAGACCAACCGTTAAGGGCGCCCGGGTGTTCTTGGATTACTCTTGATCAGTTGAAGCACACGTTGTTGTAATATTTTAGTTCGTAACACCTGTACGTGACGGGTATTTCGAGGGAAAAGATGCTTAGCTTAGTTTCGTAAACGGTGCTCAGCCTAATAGGCTAGCTAATAATTTTCCCAAATTGTTATCTACCTAACTGGACTGTCTATCTTTGATAATTGTCAGCAGTTTAATAACTTTTTGTAGTAAATCCATTTTTGTCTGTTTATATCCATTTTGAAATTTGTATTTCTTGTGTTGAACCAGATCTTGCTTCCTGGTCGCGAATGTTAGTAATGACTTTTTTTTTCAAACCTATTATGTGATGTCAAGCTTATGAAGTCCTGCATTCTGTAAGGGAATGTTACACTTCAGGGTCTA